TCTCACACACTCTCACACACTCTCTCACACACTCTCTCACACACTCTCACACACACTCTCTCACACACACACACACACACACACACACACACACACACACACACACACACACACACACACACACACACACACACACACACACACACACACACACACACACACTCTCTATGTCTCTCTCTCTCTCTCTCACACACACACACACACACACACACACACACACACACACACACACACACACACACACACACACACACACACACACACACACACACACACACACACACACACGTGTATTAAAGCAGGGTGTATAAATCCACAGAAAATGTTAATTGTGTAAACATGAAACATGGAAATGTCCTCCTCAGTACGTGTGCCGCAGCTCTCTGCTCCTAATTACGATGTATTTCCTGTTCCTGCTAACAGACACTTCTGCTTTTTTTTACTCTGTTGGGGATCAACATTTCAGTCTTACCTCCAGGATGCGGTCTCCGGGCTGCAGGCGGCCATCTTTGACAGCTGCTCCGCGCTGCAGGATGTTCTTCACCAGGATGGGTCCCGGCCCGTGGACAGACGAGTCCCGGGTTACCACGGTGAAGCCCAGACCCTCGGTGCCTACAGGGGGACAAAGCAGTCACGGAGAGTATTAGGGACATACATCCAGGGCGAATTTGACTACTTTTAATTAAGTTTCAATTAAATGTACACTTTTTCTTCCCCTTCTCCTCAGTTTTCTCTCCTCCCGCTGAGCCCAGTGTGTGTTTTAAGCATCTCCCTCCACATTAACTACCGTTTAAGTGTCTGTTTTCCTCTGAGGGGTTTGTTGCCTGGCTCTGCCTCCGAGCCCCCAAAGGAGGCTTCTCTGCTAGCCGGATTAGACAGCCTTTAATTTCACGTGTGAGCAGGCCGAATGGTGGCTGATGAAGGGAAGTGGAGGGAGAAGATGGAGGGAAGGTGGGAGGGGGAGAGGAGAAGAAGAGAGAGGAACCTGAGGGACATTATTCCCGTCTTTAGCTTCCCTCCCTGGGGATGCGACGTGATTTCCACAAAGATTTTCCTCGTGGGTGTGAGCCTGCATTTATCTGTGTGTATACATTTACAAGTGTGTGTTTTTCCAAGGCCACACACACACACACACACACACACAAGCCATCAACCCCCGGAGCCTCCACCCTCTCCTTTTTTTCACGGCCTCACAAGCCCCAAGCCATGAGTGAAATGTGCCATGCTCCGTGTGTGTGTGTGTGTGTGTGTGTGTGTGTGTGTGTGTGTGTGTGTGTGTGTGTGTGTGTGTGTGTGTGGCATAAGCCGGCGTGGCATACTAGAGGCGGTGAGCGATGCTATCTGGTCTCCGAGCTAAGCCTCTGCCTGCCCTACATTAGCGCACCTAAACCTCACCGCCTGTCAATCACGCAGAGAAAGAGCCTGTTGCCAAGGGAGAGGGTGTTAGAACCCCATAATATCCTTTGCTCTGATCTTGCATCAGGTGAAAGGGATAGAGGTAGACAAGGGGGGGAATCTAACAAAAGGAGGAAGAGTAGGAGAAATGAAAAGGTGTTGGGGAAAGAAAGGAATAAACAATAAAAGTGTGTGAAAGAAGCTTTGAGTCGAAATACAATCTCTCCCCTCCTTTCATCTGGATATCTTTCTGCCTTCTCTTTCTCCGGGTACCTGTAGCAAGTGTGTGCATGCTGCCCAATTACAGCTCTCCTTTCAATGCCCCGTAGCGCTACAGGTTGCTAGAACAGAGCCTATTCACAGCCCTACAAACCTATTCCAGTGCTATCAACACATCGGCGCTGCAGCTCTGATGTGTTTTAGAGGGATAATGGAGAAAGGCAGGCGGGAAGCCAGACACTCTCAGTCTGGAATCTAAAGCGAAACACCCAGACTGAAGGATCAGGAATGGAGAAATATCTTCACGATTGCAGCGGTTTCACACGGGACTAGATCTTTGATTTCAAAAATCGATCCGCATAACATCCAGGACTTAAAATCAGCTTTACACAAGATCATCAGAAACAAACCTGGAAGATAAAAGTCCCCCACATCATTCAAAGCCCACACCCACAGTTTGTAAAGCAGGCTTCCGTTAAGTACTTCCCATGATGAGTATTAGGAACTCAAACACTTCAGCTGCACATTTACCTTTCTTCAGGTCAATTTTTAACTTCTTTCCGCCCTTCCTGCCGGTGAGGTTTCCCAGGCCGGGCAGGGGGCTCCTGTTGCTCTGGGGGCTCTGGCTTCTGGTCCTGGGAGGGGAGGAGCTCTCTGCCCTGGAAGAAGGTGAAGAAGAGCCTCTCTCCAGGGAGCCGGGCCCACGACGGAGCTCCGCAGGGGGGTTCGCCACATGAGTCTCCGGGGCCCTGGTCCGTGCGTCGGCTCGCCGCACCCCCGGGTTGGTGTTGGGTTTGGCGTCTCTTTTGGGTTCTGACTTGGAGTCGGTTTTAGCGCGGAGCAACATCGGACTCTTTAATTTGTCCGGGGCGTCTTTGGCGTCGCCGGTGAACAGCTGACCTATCAGGCTCTTCTCGTAGCGTGGCTTGTTGGCCAGGGGGAGGACCTCCAGACGCACGGGGGAGGACGACGTCATGGCCTGGCGGAACACTTCCTGTGCCCTTTGGAAGCAAAATTGAAGAAATTAGCAAGACTTAAAAATATGTAGCTAAAGTCATTTTCACTCAAACTATAATGACATCACTTCAGCCGAAACAGCAAAAGAGACCAAGAGGCAGAACGCAGACGATTGGAAAGCAGAGAGTGAGGCCTGTGCATCCTTAATGGAGTTCTGTTTCAATTTAGATCAAGCACGGAGAGACTCTTCCTGCTGGTTCGGGGACATTGCGGCCCCCGTCAGATGGGGATAGGCCGACAGCAGGCTCCTATCGCAGGCTTTAATAGACTGCTATCAGCACAACATCCACACAACACAGGCGACTCAGTGGGATGCGGTTAAATGGACCCATTCGCCACAAAGAGGACAGAGAAAATAAAAAAAAGAATGGGGACGGCAGGTTGTCGTAGTGTGTATGTGTGTGTGTGTGTCGGAGAGACATGTGTATACACTCCTTTGTGGAAGTAGATGGTGAGATAGGAAGGGAACAGAGCGATTTGTCTTTGGCTGATAAAAGGAGGCAAACTGGTGATGGGTGTCTCGCTACAATGGCCGACAATGTGCAGGACAAACACAATCTTTAAGCTTTTGTTTAAGCTCCCAATCACATTCCTGTCTAATAAAGAAACACTTATTTTCATTTTTGGGTATGGTGCAAGTTGGAAAATATCTTGATCTCGCTACTTAGTGACTTTATAAAATGCCTTGGACAACAAAAAGACCTAAGACTAAAACAACCAAACAGTCGTCTAATCGAAGGAATGGATTCACATTCGTAAAATCGTATTAAAAACAATTTGCCACTCTTGTCTGATCTCATTGGTTTCTCCCTTCTTGGATATCTGTGTTGGGGACCATGGTACGTACTGAGCGAAGGTTTTGTCCTGCAGCTGCGTGTCGTTGATCTGGACGATGGACTCATCCGGCTTGAAGAGGTTCTCTCTCTTGGAGCGGCTGTTTTCCTCGATGCCTTTAATGTGCAGGCCCAGGGTCCTTTCAACACAAACACACAAACACACACAACACACACACATATAGTAAATATGGATTCAAGGAGGTAAACATATATGATGACATGCCAACACTTGAGCCCTGCTACTGTGTGAGTCAACATAGCCATCTGCCTTTCCTTCAAATGTCTGATGACAGGTGGTGGGTGGAGAGTGTGTGTGTGTGTGTGTGTGTGTGTGTGTGTGTGTGTGTGTGTGTGTGTGTGTGTGTGTGTGTGTGTGTGTGTGTGTGTGTGTGTGTGTGTGTGTGTGTGTGTGTACCGTCCTGCTCCTCGTGCAGCACCACCTGTCCGTCCAGAGGACTCCCGAGCGGGGCGATGGTGATGAACGGCTGCCAGGATCCGCTGATGGTCCGCGGGAACACGTCGTAAAGCTCGATGCTCTGGATGGTGTCGCCGCGCTCCTTCATCGAGAACAGAGACACGGGGTTACAGGTGGCCACGTACACCACATCTGCAAAACAGAAAAACAGAGGGGATTGTGGGATTATTATTTAAACTGTGCTGTGTGTGTGTTTTTATTACACTTACACACTTTAACCACCAAACGTGGCAGGTGTATGGGCGGTTTTGGAGGACAGATGTTGCAAAAATCAAAAATAAATCAATTCATTAAATGATAAATATATAAAATATGCAAATAAATGTATTGTTTTGTTATTTGTGTATTTTCTCCATATATCTTCGTTTATTCCTTTCAAATATATCCACTGGACATACCCAGTGATGAACACAAGACCTACGAATGTGTTGCATGACAGTGTGGATAGTGTGTGTGTGTGTGTGTGTGTGTGTGTGTGTGTGTGTGTGTGTGTGTGTGTGTGTGTGTGTGTGTGTGTGTGTGTGTGTGTGTGTGTGTGTGTGTGTGTTTGGGACGCAGGTGGCTACTTCAGCCTTTATCTACCTGCTTTCTCAACCACCCAATCTAGCCGCTGGACAAAAGAAGAGAGCGGGAGATACAGATAGAGGAGCAGATAGAGATGAAACAGAGCGGTTAATAATCTGAGCCGTGGCTGTTTAGCCGCAGAGACAAAGCTGCAGGAGATAAAGAAGACGAGGCTTCTGATAGCAGGTGGCTAAGAGAGGAGGACCTGCATGATGCGAGGAGAGGGAGATCACAGGGGAGGGAGCAAAGGGACATTTCCTGTTTTGTTTTTTAATCAGAGAAATCATGTTGTTTGTGTCATTTTCGAATCTCCAACGTAGCTTCATGGTTTTTTCCCCGCTGTACAGAATTGGCTTTGGTCAATTACTTCTCACTCTATTTCTACTTAAAACAGGAATTGATGTATCCTTGAGCGAGACACTAAAACCCAAATTGCTCCAGAGGGAAAGCTTAAGATCATTTTGATTAAAACTTACCAAAATAATGTTATATTATTTCTGCACTTTATAAAACCTATTTAACTAAGATGAAACGTATGTTATATCTGACTGTGTTGCAGTTGTCACTTTTCTCCTTCAGTCTCTCAACCTCATGCTGAAAAAGACGAAGAACAGAAAAGCGACCTCAGGTGGAGGCCGAGAACATAATTCTCCTCAAAATGTCTCTTGTAGTTTTTACAAAGCTTCAACGCAAAAGTGTCTGTGTGAGAAAAACTAAACTAAAAAAGACAGAAAGGAGAGAAGTTGAAGGTTTACTCTGTGCTTCCTCCACACACACACAAGCCCAAGGACTAGCTGGGATCATTATAACACAATCCTCTGTCACTGTCGCCTCGCTCTCGTTAACCTCTG